TCTAGTTGATAGAATTTGTCAGAGATTGAAGGGATGGAAATAAAATATTCTATCAATTCAAGGTAAAGAAATTCTTTTGAAATGTGTAGCACAGACAATTCTGTCTTGCGCTATGTCAGTTTTTAAGTTGCCTAAAGGAATATGTGAATCAATCACCGATGAAATATCGGTTTTCTGGTGGGGAGATGGACAGGAAAAGAGGAACATGCATTGGTTTGCATGGTGGAAAATGTATGTCACAAAGAATAAAGGTGGATTGGGCTTTAGAGACCTTCACACTTTAATCTTGCTATGTTAGCAAAGCAGTGTTGGCGACTTCTTCAAAATCCGGACTCTTTGTGTGCACGAGTTTTGAGTGCAAAATTCTACCCTAACGGGGACATCCTAAAAGCGGGACCGAAGAAAGGGTCTTCATTTACATGGCAACGTATTTTAGCCGGGGTTCAGACTTTCAAAAAGGGCTGCATATGGCGAATTGGATCTGGCTCACACATCAATATTTGGGAAGATCCATGGATTCCACCTAGTGAGTCGAGAAAAGTCATTACCCCTTGAGGAGGAATTATGTTAACAAAGGTGGAAGAGATTATTGATCCCCATACCGGACAGTGGGATGAGGCACTGTTGCGTAGTGTGTTTTCACCGGTTGATGTATATAGAATATTACAAATTCCCCTACATGTTGAGGCAGTTGAAGATTTTTTAGCCTGGCACTTTACGAGGTCCGGAACCTTCTCTGTCCGCTCGGCATATCAAGTGGAGTTTGATCATCAGTTTGAACGTCATTACTCAAACTCGAATAGCCCAGGTACTGCTAACCTTAATATGGTTTGGAAAGATCTGTGGCAACTGCGGCTTCCGGGAAAAATCAAACATTTTGGTTGAAAAGTCCTAAAGGGGGCCTTGCCGTGCCTCGGCGTTCTGGCAGGCATATACCTTTGGTTCCACAATGTCCGCTTTGCAAGATCGGATTAAAGGACATACAACACTGCCTTTTTTACACGCGCATGGGCATCCGATATTTGGTCTGAGTTAGGATTGCAGAATGATATTACAAGAGCCGTGCGGCAAGATCGATCTGGTTGTATAACTTTGGAAATTCTGGTCCGCATGCATACCATGATTCATGAGCTGCCAACGGCTGAACTCATCTTCGTTGTGATGTGGTTTATCCGGTGGCAGAGGCGCCAAGTAACTAATGAGGAGTCAGTCCAGACACCGGAACAAACATCAATATCTATCCGAGTTTTAGCCACCAACTCCGTACGAGCCTACACACCAAATCAACCGGTACATACGATCAGTCATCAGTGGAAGAAGCCAGCGGAGGGAGCGGTAAAAGTTAATGTCGATGCATCAGTCCATGGGACTTGAAACCTGGTGGTTTGTGGATACCACTGTCCCTCTAACCATTCAATCACAGGTTGGTTCGTGACTTTATTCTTCATTCTTGTGTAACGATCTTGCTCTTATTTGATGAATAAAGTTTTAATGCTCACTTTTTTTAATTCTGCCGAATAAGCGAGATCAAAGGCTCAGAATCCAAGCAAACGCATTTTCCAAATTTTGGTCCGGTTGCCGTCTTTCACGAAACCACCTACTCCGCTTTCAAACTACATCGGCGTACTTTCCCTTTACGCCTTCGAGGCTCCGGCTCGTCCTTGTACCAGTGTCCAGTCTGCCGCTGCGGCAACTACCCACCGCCACCGCCACCGCCATTCCGGCATGGCGAAACCTCCGCGCCACACCCTGACCATGCCGTCCGCCCACCCTCGCGGGATCCCGAAACGCGCGCTCCCGCGACTCGGTGCGGCGCTCTTTTTTGTAACCCTCGTCGGCGTCGCCCTGCCCTTGGCCGTGCTGCACCGTGCCGCCGTCTCGCGGCACCCGCTGGAGGACCCGTGGGGGCGGTACCCGCTTCCCTCGCTCGCCGCAGACGACGAGGAGAGCGCCCAAGGTGATGATCTGGTCAGTCCGCCTCATCCCTCTTGGTCCAGTCCCCAGTATTTGGCGCGGTAGTTGTATTGTATCCACTGTTAAATCATGACGAATGCTGGATAATTTGGGCATTTCTGCTTTGCCATGTAGCTACGGGATTACTAATTGCAGTGCGGTGTTTGACTTGGATTATGCTATCCCATGTCCAGTGATGTACTCTAAACGAGAGTTGTCAGTGCATAATAAAATGCTTTGTTGAATCCTTCAAGTGCTTACACAATTACGATGTGCGGTTGCGTCATCTGTGTGTGTGGTCTTGGAGAATTTGCCTTGGGATGGAGCAGTTCTGTCCACTTGGTCCCTTGGACGTCTTAGATGTGATAGATATACACATCAGTTGGTGCACTGCAGTCTATTTCTTTAACTTCTGAGTCACTTTCACTGAAAACCGAATTAGTATCTATCTTGGGATGACATTATCTTGTCGATAGCTTTTGGGACTTCGCCAAAGAAGTTGATTAATATTTTCTCTTGGACAGTGATGTTATTTTCCTTAGCAATTGGGATGACGCTGTAATTTGGACATGCTAGAAAGTTCAGACTTCAGAAACAACATAGTAGTGCATTATACACACTAGCACTTAGTTTCGCTTGCCATGGCTCCCAACTGATTACAGATGTTGATTGTTCACATGAATGCTTACTATATGGTGAATAACACGAGGCTATTCACGTAATAGGAGTATAGGAATACTTGACAGAAGCAACAGCGATGTTTATTATTTATCATTTGATAACAATCAAGGCTACCTTGAGTTTTATTTTAGCTGCCTATTTCATCATTTGTTGCCACCTATGTACTTCTTTAGAAGACCCATATTTTTTTCATGTTTAATCTGCTGGTTTTGCATATTTATGCTTAATCAGATAGCTTCTTCAGTTTACTTATTGGTCTTCAATTAATATGCCATCCTTTCTAGGACAGTGAGGATCTCAAACTTGACCGAGTTTTGCAGAAGGCTTCAATGAGGGACAACACAGTTATATTGACTACACTTAATGCTGCATGGGCTTCTCCTGGCTCGGTGATAGATCTATTTGTTGATAGTTTTCGCTCTGGTGTTAGAACAAGTTCACTCTTGAACCATCTAGTCATTATAGCATTTGATGGGGATGCGTACAGACAATGTGTCAAGATCCACCACTATTGCTTTGCTCTTGGAACTGAAGGTGTGGATTTTTCTGAAGAGAAGAGGTTCTTGACTTCTGGGTATCTGGAGATGATGTGGAAACGACTAGATTTCTTGCGGCTGGTTCTTGAAAAGGGCTACAGCTTCATATTCTCGGTAAATTACTCAGTCACCTTGACCTTTTTTACAGAGATAGATTCAGCCTTGTTGCCCATGATGGAATATAGTGATCCTTTTTCTTCTGTGAAACATGCTTATCAGGTTTAGTTCATCCATCTTTCATTTTCATTACATTTCAGGATGCAGACATAATGTGGTTTCGCAATCCATTTCCTCACTTCTATCCTAATGGTGACCTTCAGATTGCTTGCGACCACTATGTTGTGAATGCAACAGACTTGAGAAACATTGCTAATGGAGGCTTCAATTATGTGAAATCGAATGAACGGACCATAGAGTTCTACAGTTTCTGGTACTCATCACGATTGAGATATCCTGGCTACCATGATCAGGATGTCTTCAATGCTATTAAGCATGATCCATATGTCGCAGACATTGGGCTGGAAATTAAGTTTTTAAGTACAGCATACTTTGGCGGATTTTGTGAACCAAGCAGAGATTTAAATAAGGTCTGCACTATGCACGCTAACTGTTGCATCGGTTTGCGGAGCAAGATTCATGATCTGAGGATTATGATGGAAGATTGGAGGAACTATTTGTCACTGCCTCCAAGCTTGAAAAGATTGTTGACATTGTCCTGGAGGGTGCCACAAAATTGCAGGTATTATGTCCAATAGTGACGTGAAGACTGTTTTAGTAAGAAATGTGATCGGATGGAATTTTGTCGGTTCATGTGTCTGCAGCTTTCTAGTCGGCATATTTTTGTTCTGGTGGTGTTGCATCTAATCATTTTAATTGTTTGTTTTGCAGCCTTTCTTCGCTAAACTAATAAAATTCCATGCTTATGGAACACAAAAGGAAATGAGAACAGTGGAGCATGCATAAGGTGTTCTCCACATTTTCATCAAAGAACTAACTGGAAGGTCGGGCTACTAACTTCATTAGTGTTTCCCCCATACTTTACCAACTTCAATTTGATGTAAGTAGAATTTGATGTCGTAATTAGTCGGATATGTGCTGACCTCTGTATGGATGAAACATAACTTCCTTGAATGTTCATGTTTATCTTTCGAAAAAAGAATGAGCATGCCTGCTGAGATGAGAGACATATCACAGAAAACAACTCGTTTTTCTGTGTATTGTCATCGAGTTTTTTATTAGACTTGAAAAGATGTATATGCGCTTCTCAATATTTTGATCGACTTCAGATACTTCCCGGCGACCCTCAGATGCAGTTACTTTCCTATTTTGAACTCATGATGCTGGACATCATCAGTAGTGTTAGTAGTAGACGGCAGCTGTAGTTGTTCCTGGGGTTTACTCCTCGTGTTGGAAAAAGGATCCCATCCAAGCAAATGGATTTGTATATATGTTTTTTTTGACATGGATTTTCATATTTCTTAGCAAAATTACATTCTGCATACATCTTATAAGTAAATAAAAAAAATCATTCTGCCCATACTGGACCGGTTTATTTTTTTTATTTTTATGAGGACAAGGAGCGGTTTTAGAGAGAAATTGTTGGAGAGCTCTGTAATATTGGGCTTCCTAGCACGGTCCATCCAGCCGAACACGTAGGCGGTAGGCCCGCCCCACACGCATGCCCTCGGCCTTGTTGTGTGTGGGCCGAACTGACAAGTGAGACCAGCTTGCCAGTCTCGCCCATCAATAAACCCCAGAACCCAGGTCCAACCCATCAGACCTCGCCGCACCCTTTCTTCCCCCGCATTGCCGCCGCCGCCCCCTGCTGCCATGGCGAAATCATCGTCAGCGACGGCGACGGCGACGGCGTCGGGCACTAAGAAGCGGAAGTCTAAATCCGGGGCCCTCACCCACGAGGAGGTGAAGGCGCTCGGCCTCGAGCTCCTCTCCTCGCGCGCCCACCTCAACCACGCCCCCACCCTCCTCGCGCTCCTCTCCCCCACCGCGCCGCTCAGCATCGCCCTCGAGGCGCTCATCTCGCTCCAGTCCTTCTTCGAGCCCCTGCTCCCCTCCATCCCCTCCGCCTCGGCCGCAGCCGCCGCCGCAGGAGGTGCGAGCGACGACCCCGAGCTCGTGTTTGGGGCGTGGCTGCGGCAGCGCTTCGAGGAGTTCGTTGCCGCGCTCGTGGAGCTCAGCGTGTCGCCGGATAGCGACGAGGCGATCAGGGTGAGTTGGTGGCAGTTTTAACTATTCATTTGTGTGTTGGGCGATGGTGAATTGGCTAAGTTAGTATACACCTTTGTTCATGGCAGGAAGTGGCGCTTGATGCGTTCATGGATTTCGTGAAGCTGGGGAAGGACGGGAGCTTCCACTCGGCAATTTACCACAAGTTTCTCCACGCTGTGGTGAGTTTTCCTGCCTAGTAACGTGCTTCCTGCAGCCAGAAGTAGCGTTTAGTGTCTGCTCTTTTATGTGTTTCAAATTATTTTCAGGTTCATGCTACGAATTCGATTGATGATGTTCTAGAGTTGCTTGGGTCCAAGTACTCTAAGTATGCTGACGTTTGGTATGTGGTGACTGGTGACCACTCTTTCAATTATTTCTTGTGTATTTGATTACCACATCCTTGAAAAACTTGTTTCCCTAAGAACTTCAATTGTATAGAGCTGGCGATATTGCTAACTTGGTGAAATACCCAAGATATTTTTATAGTATGATTTTGCAATGCACTTAATTTTTCTCCAATTGCTCCTGCAGTTTTTTTACTTATACTAGCTTAGATAAGATCGCCAACAGTCTGGTCAGTCAAACCACTGGTAATATCTCTTGCTATGCGTAGTTTGATTTGCCACATGTAACTTCCTACAATGTGGTTAAGTTGCCCTTTTTTTAACCAGGCTCTGGAAAAGATGTCTTGCAGAATGGGGATGACGGGGCTGAAGACAGGTATACTTCAGGTTTTATGCATGGATATTTTAAATCCTGTACATTGATATAAGCGTGTTAATGCAACTTTGTGAACCAACTACGATTGTATTGTTTGACATTTCCGTAGGCACACCTTTTTTTCCTATGAAGTACACATGCTATTCTGCACCATATCTACCGATATGTTGCAATTACGTGCTCACCCAATACTGATCATGTTTTCTTGTAAAAGAACAAGGATAACCTGGAAAGTCAAGCTTTTATAGTTGTACGTTATGATGTTCCAGACTACAGTTCCAACACCTTGATTATAGACAGCTCACATGGTTGCAGGAACATATAGTGTGTTTGTTGTTCTCATATCATGCTTGCGTTTCTGCAGTGATACAATTTAGCATTAATGTTGCTTGTGTACCATGTTCTACCTTTATCCATGCAAAGTCATTTGTAGAGTTACAGTTGGATTATAAATGGTGTGAATTATTTAGGTCATAGTTGTTTGTAGGCTTATTCCATACAAAGCTTTCAAGCGATTGTTTTTAGTATGTTGATGCCTTCAAGTTTTGAAGTTCGAACTGCTATTTTAGTTCTGTTTCTTATGCTCTTCTCTTTCTTGCTTTAACAGGAGCGCTATCTGTGTACGCAATGTATACAATATTTTGGTGCATGTTCCCGCATTGGATTTTAAGAAGGAATCAAAGTTTGATATGTGGAGTACTGTTGGTATGTATTTTCTGGCTAATCCTGTAGGAATGATCTTCCTCTAGTCTTCAATAATATTTGTGTTATTTTTTAAAAACTTTTTATGCTCTTCTCCGCCTCTCCCCCCATTTTTGATTTTCCTTTTTCCTTAAGATTTTGTTAGTTCACTTGCCTCTTATGTACTTATATTCATTTTTGTTAGTGAGTGTTTTTGTTCTAACCTTTTGTGTTTGTGAAGGCCTTTCTTCAAAAGGAGAGAAGGACACCTCTGAGGTACTTCCATACACTTCATGAAGTAAAATGTACTGGCAAGTTTCTAGTGATTAAGCTTTCGAGTGTTGCAGGGCTCTTCTGCTACGCGTATAAGCAAAAAGCTAAAATTGAAGTTCACCAAAGCATGGTTGGCCTTTCTCAAGCTACCACTTCCACTTGATGTCTACAAGGAGGTAAAGCTATCTTTCGTTATTTTCAGTATCTGATAAGTAATAATTTCTCAGTTGCTTCTTCTTGAACTGTCTATGAATGGTTATATGCGTTGCACCTTAATTTACAAATTGTTGTTGCTGATTTCCTGACTCCTTTTTTCTTGTAAACTATGACCATGTTTACATGCAGTCTACTATGCAAGGGGAATTTATTATACAAGAAGTGTGTAGCCACTTAGGATGATGAAATAATTTGTAGTTTACCATTGTTGTTAAGAATAATTGGTTTTATTTTCTAGTTATTATAAAAATGCTTGAATTACCGATGTTAGTTATGTATCTCGAGTGACAGTTTGTAATCTGCAGGTCCTTGCTACACTTCATCAGAATGTTATTCCTTCAATGTCAAACCCAGCCATCTTGTGGTAGGTTGTTTATGTCCATTTTGTTCTTATTTGTACTTTGTTTGATGTGGTATCTCACGCCTTCATAATTTTTTTTCCTGTTGAAGTGATTTCTTGACTACATCATACGACATTGGCGGTGTTATCAGTGTGATGGCCTTAAGTGGTCTATTCATCCTTATGACACAGCATCAGCTTGAATATCCAAAATTCTATGATAAGCTCTATGCATTACTGACTCCTGCTGTGTTCATGGCAAAACATCGGTCAGTGTTCTTGCAAGTAAGTAGCTCTCAGTAAATATAAGTGTAATATTATGGTTACACTATGAATGAATATTGCCATACTTTAGTATGTATTAAGTTATGAATGAATATTGCCATACTTTAGCATGTATTAAGTTCTATGAACTAAAAGGGGTTTTTGAAGGACTGCCAGTCATCCAAGCTATGGATCCATTTCACGTTAACATTTTCATTCATGATCTTACAAGTGCTGTCTAGCCATGCACACCTTTGCATCTTTTGAATGCTGTTCCAGAGCCAAGTCCAGCAAAGCCAATTTCGTTAATTCTGCTTATCAACTATTTGTTGGCGGAATGCTGAGGAATGCATCATGTTGATGTCGTGTTTAACCAACAAACAACAAGTTTAGCATGCCGTTGAAAAGTAATGTACATTCTATATTAGATTAGACTTGTTACTTTGTTAGGTTATTAGTTAACCATGAATCCTGTAGCCTGCCAAACTTGAATATACCTTAAGGTTATTTGTATGCACATAAACAATGAGGCTATGTGATGCCACCTACTTCGACATTTCTTTGTAACCCATCTATTTTGTCCAGCCATTGCTGCACCATTGAAGACAAGTCCATAACAGTAGATGAAAAACAAATATAGATTACAGTACTCAGCCCTTAATCTTGTGCAAGTGACAGGCCTGTGGCAGCGAGTGGATCATATCAGCGGATCACTATTAACCATGTTTGAACTCTGAATTATCAATCTTCCAGCCATGGATCTGGATATGATATCAACTCTTATTTCATGGATTGAACAAACAAACGTGTTTCTTTTGTTGCTTATTCTTATGAATATGCCAGATTGCAGTTTATTCTTCTTTATTGTTATCTATTAATTATGACTTTGTGTTTGACTTGTTTTCTTGCAGCTTCTGGATGCTTGTCTGAAATCTTCGTATCTTCAAGCATATCTTGTCGCTTCATTTGCAAAACGATTGAGTAGACTCGCCCTTTCAGTGCCACCAGCTGGAGCTCTTATCATCATTGCTTTAATTCATAATCTGCTGCGGAGGCACCCATCAATTAATTTTTTGGTTCATTGGGTATGTTGCTTGCTATAGCCTTTTAGCCTTCATATACGAGCTCTTGATTGATCCAGTGTGTATATATCTCTGTGTACCTAATAAACCATGTGTTGGTAGCATATCCACTTAAGCTCACATTTTCTATGTTGTGTTCCGCAAGAGCCTTTTGTTTCGTAATTATTTTTGTCCATAAGCTAATTGCAATGCTTTTGTTTCTCTTTCAGGAAGTTGCTCAGGATGATGGAGAAGCTAGTTTACCTAAGAAGATTGGCGCTGATCCTTTTAACAATGAAGAGACAGACCCTGCAAAATCTGGCGCAATGCGTAAGTTTCTAATCATATCAAACAGACTTTGTTTTCTCACTTCCTTTTCTTTCAATCCTCAATCTGTCCTAAGACAGAAGAGGCAAACAGCTGTCTGGTATCGCGGATCGGATAGAAAAGTTTTATTAGTGTGAGCCTGGTAGGGCTTTGCGAGCGGGCGCATGCAGGGGTGGGGTGGGGGTGTCTTGTTAATGACATTCATTGGGTTTGTATAGTATCCGGCTCAGTTTATCATCTAATTAACCAAGTGCCATTGCTGTTCAAAAGAAAGATAAACCCTAACCTGGCCACAGCTTTTTTGTTTCAAAGGGGAAAGTGTTACTTCCCCTTGGCCTTCGGAGTAGAACTAACCGGATTCAGGACATTGATTAGTCCTGTCTAGCCGAATCCAATATGACTTGTGGGTAGCATCACACCTGAGTAGGCTACCCTAGTCCGGAGCCTGCACATAACATAATAAAAATAAAAATCATGATCTCAACTCGAGATTCTTTTTGCCCCCACATAACATCAAAATAAAAATCACGATCTCAACTGTAGTTTCTTTTTGTTCATCCCGAAGCATACATTTTAACATAACTGGTTCGATGACAGGTTGATGATTTGAACATGAGTCCTACCTGGCTACAACTTTTTGTTTCTTAGGAGAAAGCGTTACTCCAGATTGGCCTACAGAGTAGAGACTAACTGGATGTAGGACATTGACTAGTCCTGTGTAGCCGACTCCAGTATGACTTGCGGGTAGCACCATGGCCAAGTCGGCTACCTGAGTCTGACGGATATGGCCCGAGTCAGCTGCCAGAGTCCAGTGACTTCAAAATAGCCAGCACATAACATAATCAATTAAAATAATGATCTCAACTCAAGTTTCTTTTTGTTCTTCCCAAAGCATACCTTTTAAGATAACTGGCTTGATGTCAGATGGAGGATTTGAACATGATGAGGACACCTGGAGCAAAAATAGCACCTAAGGCTTTCTGAAAAGAGGATTTTTTTTTTGATGATTATATAGTTGGGTGTTGTTTTGTGGTAATATTGGTTAAGTTTTTCTTGTGTTGAAATAATTCAGCCTATATTTTTACTTTATGGCTTTTGCACCTTAGGTCTTGGTACTTGGTTATCTGTAGAAAGATTATTGCATGTTGTCCAGGTTGTCATAAGGTTTTGATATCTTTGATATAGAAATAGAACTAGGGAGGAACTGATAACCTTCGCTAGAACCGGTGGGTACTTAAATGAACTTGACAACCAGCTATACTTCTGTTTGGTTGCTACTGCAACTGTACTAGACTGGACTAGATGGAAGTCTGCTTGATGAACAGTGGTGGTGAGACAATGATAGTGGTTTACTTGCCTCTTCTTCCAAATTACAGCTTCAAGCAACTTTTGTAACGAGTTACTGGGGGCCATTGCAATTCAACATGCAAGCATGATTGTATCTTTATGGACAATTGCTATTATTTGTCTAGAATCTCATGGACAGTTTATTGCCTATCTTATATTCATCTTTGATTATGCACCACAGGAAGTTCTTTGTGGGAAATAGACACGCTGCGCCATCACTACACTCCTGCAGTTTCAAGGTATCAGGAAGACAACTTAGTGTCCTTATTTCAATGGTGTCTCCTTTTTCCTGTTTGATTATTCAGCTCATTTCATGTGGTACCACTGCCAGATTTGTTGCGTCGCTTGAAACTGATCTCACTGTTCGGGCCAAAACAATGGAGATGAAGATCACAGACTTTAGTTCAGGCTCCTATGCAACAGTTTTCCGAGATGAGGTATGCCTGCATCGGACCCGTCTGACTACATTCACCCACAGCTTTCTGCGTTTACTTATATAGTTTGCCGAGATGGGGTAGGTCTTCACCACACCTTCCACTAGATATTTCCCTCTGGTTTATGTCAGCCTAAAACATGTCTAGCAAAACCAGCTTTGCCACCCTCTTATTATGCTTAACTGTTTAAATGTTTGTGTTCAAGGCTGAGCCGGGTCCTTATCATAGGGGTCCTATCTACTGCCACTTGATGCTCATTATTAAACATCACTAAGGGTTGCTAAAATTTACCAATCTTGAATTTGAATTGTAGGCCCGGCGGCGGATAAAACAAGTCCCACTTGCGTTCTACAGAAGTACGCCAACATCTTTATTTCAAGAGTCAGATTTTCCTGGATGGACCTTTGGGTGCCAGTCGAATAGCGGGGCGCAAGCTAGCGTAGAAGGAAATGCGGTCCACACACTAGAAACCGGTGATGCCTCACCTGCTAAAAGGTCACGTGTGTAGATCTCAGTAGGGCGAGACAGGGTGTAACATTTCACTGCAAGTGCAGTGTTTTCGGAAATATTGTCTCAAAGCTATTTTAGCAGTACTCCAGTGTTGTAACACAATATATGAGCTGAAAGTAGTGAAGTAAAAAACCATGTGAGGAAATTATTCTTCTGGCTACTGCCGGTCTAAGATGTAATCTTGAATTTTTTGCCAATTATTTATGTAGATTGTAGAGTAACAAATGCCGTTTCAGCTTCAGCAATCGTGCAAGTGTTGGACAGGGAAATATTTATAATCCATATTTGTTGGCCTATCGTGCGACGATATTCTCTTGAAGATTCTGTTGAAGACGGATTGGTTTATGCACGTCAGCCACGTTGTTTAACTTGTGGGCGAGGGCATTGTGACCTGATTTAGAAGGTTAGACTTTGGATTTTACCAATCGCTACTAAGATATTGGCAAGTCCACTTCATGCTGCCAACAGATTAGTGTTTGGAGCCCACATGAAATACAGCGTGTTATGAGGTATGCCATGTGGTACGGTGCAAACAGCCACAAAATATCTCATTCGTCTGATGTTGTATCTTGCCTAACGTCGTCTTCATTGGCTCTAGCAGCCTGTGGCGTGCACAGCGGGTGCTCCGAACGAACGGAAGGCTGTTGCTGCTGCTGACCTTTCCAGGTACGAAATGTGGATCGGGATTGCCGAACTATCTTGTCCATCCATACGCCGAATCCACATACCCTCAGGTGCCAGCCCTCTCCCACTGCAAACATCTTACTGCCTTAGTTTTTCCTCGGCTAACTGCTCTGCTGTTGGCCATCTCTTGGGAACTCCGTCCTGTGTGCATGATTGCAGCTGCCATCGGATGGGGCCCTTGCTTAGTCAGCCGACCTGACAAGCTTCTCGACAGGTACGCACATAAGCTCCCCACAGAGGACGTGTGGGACGTGCCACGGGGTTGGCATCCCATATTCACATGTGTACAATCTATGTTGTACGTGGATGTATTCCAGTTCGTTCCTCTTGCAAACTCCAACCACATGTTTGACATGAGGACCGGAGAGTTTTCTGGAGAATAAGATTGCATTTTGTTGCTCCAGATAATGACATGGGGCACAGCAAGCAGCAGCCTGGCTCTAACAGGCTAGACAGTCGTTGGCATCTCGGCTCTGGGGCGATATCTGGACATAACTAGTCGAGCTGCGGTGAATCGACTTCAGAGGCACCAAACCCCTGGTGGTGTCACATTTGGTGACGCTTCACAAGCACCTCTTGTTCGCACGGCCTACCGGTGTCATCTGATTAGAAGCAACTGACGACCAAAGCTTCTTCAGGCCCAGCGGTAAGAGTCACTTCGTCTGGATTCTTATATAAAGAAAAGGGGGAAACAGAGAGGTTGAGGGGTCAATTCTTTGTTTAATCCTGCATGTACCACGCTTTTGGATCCCCCCAATTGTTTTCCTCAAAAGAAGATTTAATTCCATGTCAACTTCGTGGAAGATCTTTTCCCTTGCTCCTCGCACTCATGGGGATCCCGGTGGTTGAGTTCGTCGCAGCAGCTTCCTTTTGTTTCCTTTCTTATGCTTCTTATACAGATTCTGTTTGATAAGCATATCTTAAGATGAAGGGTCTCTTAATTTCTGAATCTTCAAAGGTAGCATCCGCTGATTTTTGTCTTGGGGATGCTGCCTTCCCAACATTTCTTGTCAGGAGCCGTCCATTTCTGTTCAGTTGAGCCCCAGTTCATATTGACATATGATTTATCCTCCTCTCTTTCCCTGGGCCTTCACCTTTTTGATTCTAGGCTTATGCAACTGCCCATTTTTTTTCAATTCATAGCTCCACTACTGTTTTGTGTTATAGCTAGTCATCATATCTGCTTGACATGCATCATCAGGAAATTTTTGTTTTTGTTCTTCCAGCCTGTCCGTTGTTGAGCTGAAGCATGGACGCCTAAAAACACCTCAGTAGTCTTCTAGACTCGCCATGAAGTTCGCACTCCATTTTTGGGGTCTTTTCTGTTGTCTGTATGCACTAAGTAAGAATATCTATGCAAGGCCCGATACAGTGAGCGTTGGAGCTCTTTTCACATTCAATTCCACGATAGGGAGAGCTGCCAAGATTGCCATTTCTGCTGCTGTCAATGAGATCAACACCGATTCAAGCATCCTTCCAGGCACAAACCTGGTTGTCGAGATGCAAGATTCCAATTGCAGTGGCTTCGTTGGCATTGTGCAAGGTACTTCTTTCATGTTTTTTTTTCTGAGCCACCAAATCATGCAGATTTATGTTATGATAACAGTATCACCCACATGGTATACGACTTACAAATTTCTTTGTTGCATGTGTTAGCATTGCAATTCATGGAGAAAGATACAGTTGCAATCATCGGCCCACAATCTTCTGTCATCGCGCATGTTATTTCTCATGTTGCAAATGAACTTCAAGTGCCTATGATGTCCTTCGGTGCAACTGATCCAACTCTCACGTCACTTCAGTTTCCTTTCTTGGTGAGGACAACCCGTAGTGATCATTTTCAAATGGCTGCTGTTGCTGACTTGGTCGACTACTATGGGTGGAAGCAAGTGACAGCTATATATATCGATGATGATTATGGAAGAAACGGCATGGCCTCTTTAGGTGATGAACTTGTCAAGAGGCGGGCTAAGATCTCGTTTAAAGCTGCAGTTAGGCCAGGAGCAAAAAAGAGTGAAATGGCTAGTGCGCTAGTCAGGGTTGCATTGATGGAATCTCGAGTGGTAGTTCTGCATGCAAATCCTGACTCTGGGCTTGCACTTCTCTCGCTGGCACGCAATCTCGGCATGACATCAAGCGGGTATGTGTGGATTGCAACAGATTGGCTCAGTTCATTCCTGGATTCATCGCCACGTCTCGACATCGGATTACTGAGCACAATGCAGGGTTTTCTCACATTACGCCAGCACACAGAAAATACAAGAAGGAAGAGTATGCTAGCTTCAAAATGGAGTGCACTGGTGAAGAAAGATACTGTTGACGACAAGTTCTTGATTAATTCGTATGGCTTTTATGCGTATGATTCTGTCTGGATCCTTGCTTATGCGCTGGACGCATATTTCAGTAGAGGTGGAAACATTTCTTTCTCAAATGACACCAAGCTACATGAAGTTGGGGCAGGGGGTCTGCAATTGAAAGCTATGACTGTCTTTGATGGGGGGAGGCTGTTACTAGAAAGAATCCAGCAAGTGAATTTCACGGGTGCAACTGGCCCTGTAAAATTTGATACAGATGGTAATCTTATCCGTCCTGCGTACGACATCGTTAACATAGTAGGATCTGGTCTGCGGACAGTTGGTTACTGGTCCAACTATTCTGGCCTGTCCACCTCGTTGCCTGAGACTCTTTACATGAAACCAGCAAAACGTGTTAGGGGAGATCAGAAACTCCACACTGTGATATGGCCAGGTGAGACTACAGTAAGGCCACGTGGATGGGTGTTTCCCAACAATGGAATTGAGCTGAAAATTGGAGTTCCCAATAGGGCAAGTTACCGTCAATTTGTGTCAGTTGACAATAACAGCGGAACGGTGCGTGGTTTCTGTATTGATGTGTTTGTTGCTGCAGCCAACTTGTTACAGTATCCAGTTCCATTTAAGTTTGTTCCGTTTGGGGATGGTAGTCAGAATCCAAGCTATCCAGACCTTATCAACAATATTCTAACGAATGTAAGTTCGCGTTCTTAAAATCTACACCACTTATTACAGTTAATGTATCTGTACAGGTGGAGTACTAATGATCTTTCATGTCTAGGACTTCGATGCTGTGGTAGGTGATATAGCTATCGTCACAAATCGGACAAGGGTTGTTGACTTCACTCAGCCATACGTTGAGTCGGGGCTTGTGGTACTTACCTCTGTTAAGAAGCAAAGCTCGAGTGGATGGGCCTTTTTGCAGCCATTCACCATCAAAATGTGGTGCATCACAGGGCTGTTCTTTCTTGTCATAGGAACGGTGATTTGGCTGCTTGAGCACAGAATCAATGATGAGTTCCGCGGGCCTCCAGCGAAACAGGTTATCACTGTATTCTGGTAAGGTCTCCTAGTATACCAATTGGAGCCACTTTTTTGCTGTTTTTTTTCTCGGAATACGCACGAGTGTGCATATCATGCATTAAAGAAGAGAGAGTGGGCAAAGCGCCCTCCACCCCAAAGTGTTGCAAGTTACCCATTTTTTTTGCCGATCATCCTGTACAAAGCCAGCAAATTATGTTGGGTCTTTTGTTGGCATCTCAGTGCCATTCTAGATGTGCCAATACAAAGTCTAGTGGCTGCAGGCTGTAGCTACTGACTTCTGTGCTGTCATTTTAACACGCATATGTATAGACGTGAGCCCGGGGATTAGACTTATTTCCCACACACTTTACATTTAGTTTCTTGAACGATGCAAGTGTCTTGATTGCTTGAGGTTAATTACATGCTGTATTCACTTTGCTTGTGCAGGTTCAGTTTCTCAACTCTGTTCTTCGCGCACAGTGAGTGAAAGGCAACTCTTAACCTTTGTACATACCATTGATGAAGATGTCCCAGTCGATTCACTAAAGTTCGTGTGCATTTTTATCTTAGGAGAGGACACGAGAAGCACCCTCGGCCGCTTCGTGATCATCATATGGCTCTTCGTGGTTCTGATCATCCAGTCCAGCTACACTGCCAGCTTGACCTCCATACTCACCGTGCAGCAGCTCATATCTCCAATCACAGGGATCGATAGCTTGGTCGCCAGCGACGAGCCCATCGGGTTTCAAGTCGGCTCCTTTGCGGAAAGTTACCTCGTGAACGAGCTCGGTGTCTCGAGACACAGGCTTAAATCCCTCGGTACTCCGGACGAGTATAAGCAAGCGCTTGAGCTTGGCCCTGCCAATGGAGGCGTCGCTGGCATCGTTGACGAGCGTCCCTATGTTGAGATCTTCTTGCTCCTGCATCCCAAATTCGCAGTCGTGGGCTCGGAGTTCACCAAAAGTGGCTGGGGCTTCGT